CACTTCAAAACATGTATGGAATAAACATCAAAGTATGCATGTCAAGGTGTTTATGTGGAGGTTATTAAATAGGTCTCTCCCTTTGGTTGATAATTTAGACAAATTTCAGATTGCTCTTAATCCCTTCAGGTGCCCATTTTGTGTTAACAATAGTGAAAATACAAATCATATTTTCTTTGCTTGTCCTTTTGCAAGAAAAATCAGGGATTACTTTTCTGGTATTATTAACATACCAATACCAAAGAAATTACTCATCTCTAAGACAGATATTAATATGTTGGTGGCTAGTAGCAGGTTCTAAGTCCTTGGGTGATATTTTTAAACACAATATGCCTGGGATAATTTGGTGGTTTATATGGAAAACATACTCTTCCTTTACATAGGGTTCTGATTCCATTCCTTATTCAGATATTGTTATTTGGCAGATAAAACACTACACTCAAAATTGGGCATATAAATTGATGAACTTAAAGATTAGAAAAGACGAGTGGAAGGTTTTCTGATTCAAGAAAATCTGGTTTCTACTAATTTCAAGTTCAAGGAAGGTGGATATAAACTGATTAAATGGAAAAGGCCAGATAAAGAATATAAATTAAATGTAGATGCTTCATTTGTACCTGGATCTGCGTCTGGTGAATCTATTCTTAGGAACCGGAACGGTGAACTATCTTGGGCTATCGGCTTCAGCATTCAGGCGGTTTCGAGCAAAGAGGCGGAGCTCAAGGCACTGATGCTTGCTTCTGATATGTCATTGGAAAGGGGTTATGTTGCTTTTCAGGTGGAAACACATGTTGAGCATTCCATTTCCGTTTTGAGAAACGATTTAGGCAGGTATGAAGGGGTTCGAACATTCAGGGAGAAAGCTAAGGTAGCGGGTCTGAAATTTGGGCATGTTTACCGGGAAGGTAAGGAAGTAGCCCACTACTTGGCGGCCCAGAGTATTCTTCCAGCCCAAATCATTTTCTTTGACCAGGTTAGCTAGTTGCCAATTCTAGCTCGTAGGAGTTATTACGCAGACTTAGGGAGTGTTTGCGATTGCTTCAACTTTAAAAAAGTGATTTTTTAAAGTGCTTTTGGGAAAAGTGATTAATAGTAAAAGTTGGTAGTGTTTGAGAAAAAAGTGATTCTGAAAAAGTAAAAGTTGGTAGTGTTTGGTAAAATAAGTACTTTTTGTGTAATAGAAAAAGTGAGAAGCAGTTTAAAGAACCCTTCTACCTGCTTCCAGCTTTTAGCTTTTAAGTGATTAATTTAAGCAGAAGCTATTATTTGAAAACACTCTTTTCAACTTTTTTTAAGCCAAAAGCTGAAAAGCACTTTTTTTAATCAACCCCAAACACTCCTTTAGTTGGTTTCCCTCACTTTCGATTTTAATTTCCTCTTGTATCTATTGGGTCAGGTCTAGCCCCCCGATAGATTCTTTTATCAGTTTCTTTGCATGTATTTTGAGAAGGAATGCCTTCTTTGGAGAGGTCTTGGTCTAGTCCCCCTCTTCTTCTGTTCTTTATATTCATCAATAAAACTAGGTAAATGACCCCCGACATTTACTCCACTGATTTTGGTGGTTTTCCTTTCCGGGGTAAAAAAAAGAGGATAAGAGACATTTGTAGTGAACTTTGTTTAAGAGTGAATTTAAGTTGTTGTGGAAGAATATATTAGTTTGATATAAGTATCAAAGGTTTAAAGTAGATAATAGATGAATAATAAAATATAGTAATTAAATTCTGAATATAAAATTGTATTGAGAATTTGAGAAGTGCAGCAACCAAGAGGCAACAGTTCTCAAAGAGAAAACCCAAAGAGGACGGCCTGCTCATCAGGAACAAAACCAGACCGGTAGTTTTCCAGAAAGCTAACTACATCAAATACAAACACTTTGTACTTACTTGGTCTCACCCTTACCCACCCAATTCAGTCCAATAAAACCACTTTGGCGTCGACGCTGCTTGGTAACCATTACAATAATTAGGCATCGTCAGTGGTGATATTCCCGTCTAAAGGGCAGAATGACCACCTTGACTCACCACCGCTCTTGTCTGAAATGTATGACGTGGAAATGAGCTTAATGGATAGTTTTTTTCGAGTCTCACAACCTTCCGCATCAACAGCGTCTGTGGTGGTGGACTTGTGGTGAACAACAATAATGAACCCCCACAACGTCAACATACGAACAAAAGCGAGGATGGAGTGGATGCGGAGAGGAACTGGAGCACCTACTTGGCCTCTGACTCGAGCTTGTATGAAACCAGTATGGCTGAAAAGGCGTGAGAACTTAAGGGAGGGACTAGATAGAGAGGGTCTACTCACACCCCCGAAAAAAGAGTTCAAATAAAAAGTGGTCTTCTCCTGCAAAGTGCAAAATTTTCACTTTTGCATGTTTCGCTTGCATTTTTCTTGTTTTCGTTGCACTTTTTCGCTGTAGCGATATATATATATATATATATATATATATATATATATATATATATTAAAATATATATTAATATGTTTTGGAAGAAATAACTACTTATTCATTATTTAAAAAAACAATAAGTATATGACCATGTACATTGTGCAAGCATCATTCAAGGGGAAAAAACTCAGATATTCATATTTTAGGAATATCATGTTGTTTTAGTCATAAGAGAGGCAATTTTCTCTATTTTATTATTCATCTATTATCTACTTTTAACCTTTCATTTGATACATATCTTAAACTAATAAAATCTTTCACAATAACTTAAATCGACTCTTAAACAAAGTTCACTACAAATGTTTCTTATCCTTGTTCCTTCTAAAATTTTGCCATTATCTATAATACATAAAGCACTTCAAAAAACTTATATTTGGCACAAATTTTAACTCGGGGTTTTAACTAAATTTCTGAGTGTAATAGGCTTGGCACGGATTTTGCACGGGTTTGGCACGGATTTCGCACGAGTTTGGCACGGATTTCGCACATGTTAACACTGTGAAACACTATACCATGCCACATAAGTAGCCAGTTATATAAAATTTCTATCATTACATAATTAATAAATCCAATTGTAAAATATTATGCCCTAATAAAGCCAAACTATATTCTCATAAGCATATGTCATTTCTACTTTTGTGAAAACTTATTTCCCGCCATAAATATCAAAAAAATCTAATTTGACTCTTTTGTTTACGACACAAAACCAAAATACCTCCTTAACACAATAATAGTAATGTGGTGAATATTACAGGACTATTTGATTAAAGAGTTAATTAATTCAAATTTTAAATGTGGAGTATTTTACATTTATTAAAACTTTAATTGAGTAGCTTTTTAAAAATTGTACAACTCAATTTAATGTGTATGGTTTTAATAGAACTGCTATCACCAGACATCACGTACTTATATATAAACTCCAATTTACTGTCATACCTAGAGGGCACTTCTACAAAAAAGAAGCTAAGGAAACACCATCCGGCATAGATATTATACTTAGATCCCTCAAGGCTCACAATTAAATAAATATTTTAAACACAGTTTAAACTATGACACTTAATAATTACAAAAACTAAAGTCATGCATGCATGTTGCATTGCAATATGAAAACAGTTTTTGAGTACTTCATTTTAGAAGCTCTAATCAGACGCCAAGTAGCTGTTCCAGCTGCCTTCCGCCTCCAATCCATCCTCCGATCCTTATTTATGTTTTGGGGTACACTTTTGTTGTTCGCCACTACCATTGATGCCGTTGATGCGGAAGATGGCAAGGCTTCAATTAAAGTAAATGGGTCGTAATCGATTTTTCCATTGTTGTTCGATATCTCACAACCGGCCATACACGGAAATATAAATACAAAGAGTCCTACACTACGTATGATACAAGTGGTCTAACTCTATACGCATGCTTACAAGTGATAAGGATGAAACTAAATAACAATTAGAACTAAAAACAATTATTTACAATGAAATAATGTAGACGGACTAATAGGAGACCACATGCATGCACACGTCCGAAAATATATATTAACACCCCCCCTCAAGATGGAGCATGGGGGTCATGAATGCCCATCTTGCCAAGAAGATAATGAAATTGTGTAGCACCCAAAGCTTTAGTGAGTATATCCGCCAATTGGTCTGAGGTGGGCAAGTGAGACGTGACAATAGCACCAGACTTCACATGATCACGAATGAAATGACAGTCGAGCTCGATGTGTTTAGTACGTTCATGGAAGACTGGATTAGAAGCAATATGCAGAGCGGCTTTGTTATCACAAAAGAGCTGAAGTGGTGGTAGCTCAATGCGTAGAGATGAAAATAAACTTCGTAACCACAAAAGCTCACAAGTAAGAGTGGCCATCGACCGATACTCTGCTTCGGCCGAAGATCGAGAGACCGTAGCTTGCTTCTTGGTTCGCCAAGAGATAGGGGAACCACCAAGTGTCACAAAATATCCTGTAACAGAACGTCGTGTGGTTGGACAACTAGCCCAATCTGAATCACAATATCCAAGAAGTGAAAGTGGAGAATTACGCCGGTACACAATCCCTTGGCCTGGGTGGCCCTTGATATAGCGAAGTACGCGGATAACAGCGTCCCAGTGTGCTTGTCTTGGTGCTTGCATAAATTGAGAAAGGATATGCACGGAATAATTAATATCCGGCCGTGTGAGCGTAAGATAAATAAGTTTGCCAACCAGACGTCGATACCTTTCAGGATCCGAAAATAAAGCGCTATCATCAGATTGAAGGCCATGATTTTGGGACATAGGAAAGTCAACGGGTTTGGCCCCTGTCAGACCTGTCTCAGCCAGAATATCCAGAACATATTTTCGTTGACACAGGAAAATACCACGCGGACTCCGTGCAATTTCTAGCCCAAGAAAATACTTCATATAACCCAAATCTTTAACAGGAAAAATGCGAGCCAGATATGATTTAAAAACAGAGATCATCTCAGGACTAGTACCCGTAATTAATAAATCATCAACATACACAAGAATGCATAATAGGTGCCCTCCACGGTGAAGAGTAAATAAAGAATAATCTGCATGTGACTGAGAAAATCCATAAGCGAGAAGTGCGTTAGTCAATTTAGAAAACCAACATCGTGGGGCTTGACGAAGCCCGTAGAGAGACCGTAGCAATCTGCACACATGTCCCGGTTTAGAGGAGGAGTAACCGGGGGGCAAATGCATGTATACCTCCTCCTGAAGATCGCCATGCAGGAAAGCATTATCCACGTCCATTTGATGTGTCTCCCATCCTCGGGATGCAGCAATAGCCAAAATTGTACGTACCGTAACCATTTTGGCAACGGGAGCAAAGGTCTCGTCATAGTCGATTCCATGTACCTGGCGGTTACCGCAGACTACAAGTCTGGCTTTGTAGCGATCAATACTGCCATCACTCTTGTATTTGATTTTATAAACCCATTTACAAAAAATAGGAATCTTACCAGGGGGAAGCTCTTGTATTTTCCACGTGCCGGTGCGTTCCAATGCATTAATTTCATGTTGCATGGCAGCCCGCCAATTTGGATCACCAACCGCCTCACGAAATGTACTCGGTTCCTTGGTGGACGAAATGGCTGCAATGAAGGCACGATGCTGCACCGAAAAACAGTTATAATTTACATAATGAGATAAGGGATACGGGTTACCTGATTCAACTGACGGAGACGAGGGAGTGACAGGAGGAGTATCTATTTTCACAGTATTAATTTGTACCGTGTAGTCTTTATGCCACACCGGTTGCCGTTTTGGACGTGTTCCCCGTCGTACAGAAGTCTCGAAGGGCGGTGTTGATGTGTCAGTGTTGCCATCCCCCTGGGACGTCGATGAATTCGTAGCATGCCCTGTATCACCAGAATGGTCTTCACCGTTAGTCAAGGACGATGTTGGTGCGTGAGTAGTCATCATGTCTCCATGCATGCATGCATTTCCATTACCATCACCCACATGCATGCCATCCTCATCACTAACAATATAATTTGGTGGGTGTGTCACTAAAATCTTGGAATTCACACTGGTGCCGTCTTCCTCCACAATTGATTGAGCAAACGGAAATTCCGTCTCAACAAATGTGACATCTCTCGAAACAAAAAAACGTTGACTTTCAAGATCATATAATTTCCAACCCTTTTGAGAATAAGGATATCCCAAAAAATGCATTTCAATCCCCGTTGAGCAAATTTATCTCCATTATTCCCGTGTGCTCGTGCATAGCAAAGGCAACCAAAAACGCGTAGATGGTCGTATTTTGGTGATTTGTTATGCAATAATTCATAAGGGCTTTTATTCTCTAAGACCGGCGAAGGTAACCGGTTAATCAAATAACATGCAGTCAAGACACATTCGCCCCAAAAATCAATCGGTAGATGAGCATGGAAACGAAGAGTTCGGGCTATGTTTAAAATGTGCCTGTGTTTACGCTCAACCCGTCCATTTTGTTGTGGAGTATAAACACAGGTTGTTTGAAAAATAATTCCATGATCCAAAAAATAATTTTTTAAACACTGAAATTCTGTCCCGTTATCACTCCTAACGATTTTCACCCTCTTATTAAATTGACGGTCCACCATCACAATAAATTGCTTAAGTAAACAAGATACTTCATTCTTTTCTTTTAGCAAAAAAACCCATACGGCACGCGAGTAATCATCAACAACAGTCAGAAAATATCGAGCACCACAAGACGAAGGAGTTCGATATGGACCCCACACGTCACAGTGTATTAAATCAAATACCGCAAATGCTCTGGATTCACTAATATGAAAAATATCACGGGTCTTTTTCCCACGCAAACATGCGTCACAATCTTTATTCAAACCAATGTCCAACACAGAATTATTCAAAGTAATAACAGAACGTAAAACCTTGACTGATGGGTGTCCTAACCGGGAGTGCCACAAATCGCCTTTGCTCTTCTCCGTTATTGAACAAGCACGGACAAAATCAATACTGCGGAAATAGTATACTCCTCCTCGTTTTTCACCCGCTCCAATCAGCGTCCTCGAAGGTAGGTCCTGTATCACACAAAAATCATTAGTAAAAAATACACTGCAATTTCGGTCATCAGTTAATTTTGCCAATGAAATTAAATTGCAAGTCAATCCCGGAACTAATAAAACATTTTGCAATGTAATTCCAAGGCTTATCTGCACAGTCCCCTTGCTTGTCGCAGATGTGACTTCGCCATTTGGTAGAAAAACGGGCAGCAGTTTTATTTTTTGTATATTCGTCAACAAGCTCGTCTGCCCGGTCATGTGAAACGAAGCACCCGAGTCTAATAACCATAAATTAACGCAAGCACCCATACCTGACAGCTTATCTTGAGAGGTTGTCGTTTTACATTTCTCCATCAATTGGAGAAAGTTTCTCCATTGGTCATCAGTGAAACTAGGCATACCGCGGCCGGCATCTTCTGGTCCGTTTGTTGGAACGGCAGTCAAAGGTTCGTCGGGGGTTGTGGTTTGAGAGCTGTTCGTCATCGTAGCAAAGAGTTGATCGGAAAAAAGAATAGTCTCGGCCAAGGATCGTTCGGTGGCTCTGATACCAAATTAAAGTAAATGGGTCGTAATCGATTTTTCCATTGTTGTTCGATATCTCACAACCGGCCATACACGGAAATATAAATACAAAGAGTCCTACACTACGTATGATACAACAAGTGGTCTAACTCTATACGCATGCTTACAAGTGATAAGGATGAAACTAAATAACAATTAGAACTAAAAACAATTATTTACAATGAAATAATGTAGACGGACTAATAGGAGACCACATGCATGCACACGTCCGAAAATATATATTAACAGCTTCAAAGAGGTTTGCCATAAAGCTCATTTCCTCGCCGTAGGATTCGGCCAAGAGTGGTGGCCACTCACGGTGTTCATTCTGCTCGCCGACCGGGAATATCGCCGTCGACGAAGACTGCTGGTTATTACCACCATGGCACCATGGGTGTCAATGTTGTTCTGTTGGGCTGAACTGGGCGGTGCAAGAGTGAGGCCGGTGAAGTATTTGTATTTGATATAGTTTTCTAGAACCATATGTCTCTTTTTATTCCCGTTATTGATTAGGTCGCCGCCCTCTTTGGGTTTTCTCTTGGTGAACTGCCGCCTCTTAGTGGCGGCATTCGAGTGGTTCCCGAGTAGCTCATGTAATGCCACCAGCCACCTCTCTTCTTCCTTTTCTTTCTTCATTCGTTTTTTTAAACCCGATGGCAAACCTTATAGGCAATTCAATCCGCCTCTCCTTTTTCTCCGTCAATGGGTTTTTTCTTGTTACGATTAGGCAAAGATAAACGATAAATTAAGAGCAAGAACACAAGAATTAACGTGGTTCACGCAATCGGGGTGATTACGCTAGTCCACGGCGAACGAGAGAGAGTATGTATTATTATCAGCGTCCCAAGAGGTTTACAAGTACATAAGAGTCGTTTAAATAGGTTTAGGAAAACCTAAACTGAGATTAGAGCCGCAGGCCCAAAATTAAGCCTGTTTTTAAAATTCCCGTCGACTGACCCGGTCGGGTCTCTTATTTGACCCGGTCGGGTCTCCTTCACAGAACACAAACCCGGTAGAAACCAGGTCGGGTTTCCAAAACAGAAGGCTTCTGCCTTGCTGACCCGGTCGGGTCCCTTCCCTGACCCGGTCGGGTCTCACGTCCAGTGAGCTCCCAGATCTCTGCTTCAACATACCCGATCGGGTCCTTTATCTGACCCGGTCGGGTATCAGTTCTGAAACTTTGAACAAGACTCCATCTTCAACAATCTCCCACTTGGAGGCTTGGTCAACAATCATCTGCCATCCAAGAACATGTATCTTCTGTAAAACCCTTGATCTCTCTCTCTTTCTCTTTCTCTCTCGTCCGCGCCTTCTCATCAAGTATCTGGAAGGCCCGTTGAAGCCATGCATAGCTTCAACTTCTCGGTTGTCACCGCCTTGGTAAGCATGTCTGCTGGATTCTTCGTACCAAGGATCTTCTTCAAATTTATAGTACCATCTTCAATCAATTCTCGAATGAAATGATACCTCATCTTGATGTGTTTCGTTCTGCTGTGAAACACCGGATTCTTCGCGAGATGAATAGCACTCTGGTTGTCACAGTACAGACCACAATCCCCCTGTTTCATGCCCAACTCCAAAAGAAAGTTCTTCAACCAAATCATCTCCTTGGCCGCTTCAGTAATAGCCATATATTCTGCTTTTGAAAGAGCTACACTCTTCTGTAATTTGGACATCCAACTGATTGCCGTACCTCCAATAGTGAATATGTAACCCGTAGTGCTCTTCCCGGAATCATGACAGCCCCCCAAATCAGCATCTGCAAAACCTTCTAGAATTGCCCCATTCCTCCTGAAACAAAGAGCAGTTCTAGAGGTGCCTTTCAAGTAGCGTAGCAGCCACTTGACCCCTTCCCAATGTTCCTTCCCTGGATTTGACATAAACCTGCTAACAACTCCCACTGCATGAGCAATGTCTGGCCTTGTTGACACCATCGCATACATCAAACTGCCAACTGCTGATGCATAAGGAACTTTAGCCATCTCATCTTTGTCTTCATCGGTCTTCGGAGACTGCTGCTTGGAGAGTTTCAACTGACTCCCTAACGGTGTACTCCTTGGCTTGGCATCCGTCATTCTGAACTTCTCAAGGACCTTCTGAATGTACTTCTGCTGTGAAAGCTTTAAAGTACCTTCCACATTGTCTCTGACTATGCTCATCCCAAGAATCTGTCTCGCCTCCCCTAAATCCTTCATCTCAAATTCTTCAGACAACTTCTTCTTGAGCTTGTTGATCTCCTGCATGTTTGCTCCAGCCACCAACATGTCATCAACATACAAAAGAAGAATAATGTATGAAGACTCGAATTTCTTCAAGTAACAGCAATGGTCCATCTTGCATCTAGTGTACCCATTCCGCTGCATAAAACTGTCAAACTTCAAGTACCACTGTCTAGGAGCTTGCTTCAGCCCGTATAGACTCTTCTTGAGTTTGCACACCATCTTCTCTTTACCACTCACTGGGAAACCTGCTGGTTGGGCCATGTAAATGTCTTCTTCAAGGTCACCATGAAGAAAAGCAGTCTTCACATCCAGCTGCTCCAAATGCAAATTTTCAGCAGCAACGATACCAAGGATCAACCTGATAGTAGTCATCTTCACAACCGGGGAGAAGATTTCATTGTAATCAACCCCCTTCTTCTGTTGGAACCCCTTGACAACTAGTCTCGCCTTGTATCTTTTGTTCCCATCAGCTTCATCTTTGATTCTGAACACCCACTTGTTCTCCAAAACTTTCTTTCCCGGTGGTAGCTTGACTAAGGACCAAGTTTGGTTCTTGTCAAGTGAATCTAACTCATCCTCCATGGCCTTCTTCCACTGTATGGAATCTTTCATGGTCAGCGCCTCTGAGTAAGATTCTGGCTCTCCATTCTCGGTCAGCAACAGGTAATTTGCTGAAGGAGAATATCTGTTAGGAGGTCTTCTGATTCTGGTGGACTGTCTGACTTGAGGAGTAGCTGCCTCTGAATTTTCACCATCTTCATCACTCCCACTATCTTCAGACATTCCTGTATCTCCTGAGCTCCCACTGCTCCCTGAACCTCCAGTCATCTCATCACAACCAACAGGTTGTGCTATGTCATCTTCAGTCATCCCGTCAAACACCACTTGTTGCTTGTTTTCTGGTTGCTTGGCTTTGCTAGTTTCTGCTACAAGACCATCTTTATACAGGGCATTCTCGTTGAAAGTGACATCTCTACTTCTGATAACCTTCTTGCTGTGGTTGTCCCAGAACCTGTAGCCCATGTCATCCATCCCGTACCCAATAAAGATACACTTCTTTTCCTTTGCCTCGAGCTTGTCACTATCTGCATCTCTAACTTTGACATAGGAAATACAACCAAAAACTTTCAAGTGAGTAAGAGATACCTCTCGACCTTTCCATTCCTCCTCTGGAATTTTGAAACCTATGGGAGATGAGGGTCCTCTGTTGATCAAGTATGTTGCTGTGTTCACCGCATCGGCCCAGAACATCTTTGGAAGTCCTGCATGCAATCTCATGCTCCTGGCCCTCTCATTCAGTGTTCTGTTCATCCTTTCTGCAACACCATTTTGCTGTGGTGTTTCTGGAACCGTCTTCAGCATTCTGATCCCCTGTTCAGCACAATACTCTACAAACTCTGTGCTGCTGTACTCACCCCCATTATCACTCTTTAAACACTTAATCTTAAGATTCGTTTCATTTTCTACTGCAGCTTTGAACTTCTTAAAAGTGTTAAAGACTTCAGATTTATTTTTAAGAAAATAAACCCATACCTTCCGTGTAGAGTCATCAATGAATGTGACATAGTAACGGGAACCTCCAATCGAAGAGACCTTTGTAGGTCCGTAGACATCTGAATGAATCA